ATGTGACCCAAAGGTGCTTCCTGTTTCATGTTGGCAATAATGTGGCTTGTGCCAGAGTCCTCACCCCAGCTGACTGTCATACACTTATTACATACTTGCTTTAACCTTAACCAGAGGAATTTTAATGGCTTCAGATAAAAGCTAATAGGTTGCATGTTATTTCTCCCTTAGGGATTGGGAGCTGAGACTTTTTTTGAGTTTACAACAGTTTTCATGCTGTTTAAAATTGAACAATAATCACTTATTGAATTATTGAATTGTGTTCTTTTTGTTTTATTACCTGAAAATGCCGCCTGATCTGCTTCAGTTCCTTGACCATATTGAATAGTGCTCACCTCACAACATAAAAAGCAACAATTACATTTAGTCCACGTCTGGACACTGAGATTATCCCCATCAAAACTTTATTTTATTTCGTTCAGTTACCACTAGGATATCTTTGTATGTCTTGGAAATGATGCGTTAGAGCGTCTGCCCGGAGGGCGGAAGGTCACGGGTTCGATCCCCGAACGTGTCATACCAAAAGACGTTAAAATATGGTACTTGTTGGTCTCTGCCTGGCGCTCGGCATTACTGGGTACAACAAGCACTGGTCAGCTCGGAGTCAGTATAATGCGTCTGAGTGAGTTATTCCTGCTTCACTGCGGCATGGTATCTCAGTGGGCTAGCACTATAAAACCAGCTTCAGTCTGGGCTAGTACAAGGAGATGCACATACACATTCACACACACACATGCACGTCGTCATATGAGCGAAATATTCTCAAGCACGACGTTAAACCCAATTTCACCTCACCTTGGAAATGATGCATACCATTTCACATGCTTTTGGAGTCGGTATATTTGGTTCATGTGGGTATCTACTTGCCATTCCTTGCTACACTTTTTGAAGTTAAGTGATCTGACATAATGGTTGAAACTGTAGACTAATTTATGGTCATTTGTGGTAGTGACTTTAATCGGTATTAATCATGTTTATTGTAAGTAGAATAACTATTGCCCAGGACACATAGAAGTCACAGGAAATATTCAAAGGATGTTTCCTAGAGCATGGTGACACACCTTGAACTGTCATAATGTAACAGGTGGTATATACAAATATGTCAGCACATGCTTCATATTGTTGGATTCTTGATAATAATGTGTATCAGTTTTTGCAACAAGTGCTTTCATCATACTTTTAGGTGTCAGCTTTCTGTATGGTGCCTTTGTAAACATCCATGACCTTTTCAGGGTTATGGTAATTTTGTCATTATCTAGTGGAATTTGTGACAAGCTTAGAATTAGGCATGCGATAATATCTACATCACAGACAGACAGATCGCTACAAAATCATTGAGCTTTGACATACCAGTGCTTGTCCGAAATTACTATGCCTTGAAGGCTCTGAGCTGTGATACAGGGCATATTGCAAACAGTCTCTACAAATGCCCTGACTGTTTTCAATGTTTATTTCCCCAGTGTAATCAAACAGATTAAGATCATATGATTCAGTACATAATTTTCTTCAAAATAATGCAATTTGATTTTTCCATTTTCAAAAATATAAATTCTGTCAAGATTGAAAAATGTGTAAATTTCTGTTTCATTATGTCCAGATCTCTTTTTCAATAATCTGAAATTGATTTAGACATGTTTACATTCCCTGACAAACATTCATGTTTAACTTCAAATTTTCCACCAAGGTATCTTGGTGCTTAAAGGAGACCCATGCTTTAGTTGAATGTCTGGTGACCCAGCCAAGCAAACTGTTTCACCTTTCTCAGGCGGTATATGCAAGGAGAGTGTCAAGGATGGTTGAGCAGCCTGTATGTCAAGTTCCTAGTTTCCCCCACAGCTGAATAATACCTCTGGCAAAATTGAATGTATGACTAGGCCTCAAGCTATTTATGCTGGGAATAGGGGGAAGCTTCAGAGGCCCTTTTAGGGTGCATGTTCACAAGCACATTTTGTAACGGGTGAGTCATGAAACAAGAAAGGGCCCATCAGAATTTGATACCTGTTCGGTTATTGACGTCGCAAGAGCAATGGGATGCAGCCGTCGTACTGTGTATGACTTGCGAGGTCGTCTACAACAAACTGGCACCACTTCTGAACACCCAAGGTCGGGTCGTACACGTGTGTCGCACGAGCAGAAGACCGTCAAATCGTCCTACGTCACCTACGTGACAGATTTCTGCCAGCTACACGAACCAGGGCTGAGATGTTTAGAGCTCGACTGTCCTCACAGACCATTAGAAATCGGTTGCGGGCTGCCAATCTCCATTCTCGACGTCCATATCGTGGGCCAATATTGACGCCGTTTCATCAACGTCAACGTCTGCTGTGGGCCCAACGTCACCTCGGATGGGCCCAGAGAGACTGGAATCGAGTCGTCTTTAGCGATGAATCCAGCTTTACCCTCAGATTCGCGGACGGCAGGCATAGAGTCTGGAGACGACGTCGTGAACGGTATGCCCAATGTTGTGTACAGGAAGTCACAGATTCGGGGGGCGGAAGTTGCATGGTGTGGTGTGCTTTCTGTGGGAACAACCGTTCCCGACTTCTGGTCCTTCATGGAAACCTCACAGCTGCTGCTTACCGCGACCAGGTGCTCACCCCTGAACTAGTTCCTTTCATGGCGGCTCATGGCCCAGGTCTACAGTTCCAGCATGTTTATGCTCGGCCTCATACCGCGATGTTGCACGAAATTTCCTTCAAAACGCTGGAATCAACGTCATGGACTGGCCATCGAGGTCCCCTGACCTTAATCCAATAGAGCACGTTTGGGATGCACTTGGGAGAAGGCTCCGTGGTCTTAGGAACCAACCTCAGAATTTGCAGGAACTTGGCGCTGCCTTGCAAGAGCAATGGCGCAGAATCCCCAACCACGTGTTCACAAGCATCAAGCAGTTGATGAGGAGACGGTGTTTGGCAGTGGTTAAATATGCGGGGTGGCCATACACGATATTGAACTGAGAAATTTCGCATTTTTATTCTTGTGACTTGACATTCTGTATACCCATGTTTTGGAACGGCGGTGTAGCCTAATGGAACTGATTATGGCACTGTCAGTGTATCGAGTACATCACACAGATCTCAGCAATGAAATAACAATTTAACCATCTTACCATCTCTTGTTCTTTTAAAGTGCCCTGAAGAAAGAATGTGAAGTTTATTTTTTGACTCAGTATATTATAAAGAACATATTTTATTGACACATAAGATATGAAATATCATTTGAGGTGTTCTGGCTTTGTAAAGACAGCATGGCTTCAAATAGATTTGAATGTTGGATTTAGCTGCTTGGTAAAATACAAAATGTGTTAGTGCACACACATTTAATGTGTCATTTTGCAATTCCATTGTTTTCTGTATGAGACATTGAAAGTTCTTGTTTGTCTTAACCTAAATGAAAGATGCTAAGTGGTTCATATGTGTCTGAACATGACCATGTTCTTCAGGCAATTGACATGGACAATTTCCTGTTTGATTTGGTTGAAAGTTTTGTAGGATTCCCTTGGAAATCCAGTAGAACTGCAGATAAATATTTGTCACCAACAGACTTCTCATATGATTTTTTAGTATTGAGATGCTGTGATGCACACTTTGCTAATTGAGAGCAATCATTTGAGCTTTCTGTATTTAGTTGTTTTCGCAGAAGTTCTGCGGTTATTTGGTTATTGTTCATCAAATATCGTTTGTATGATGTATAAGATTAGATCCTAATAATTTCGTTTGACAGAAGTAAGTAAATACTTCGTGAGCACATATTTGTCTGCTTAAACAGCTAATTGTTACTAATAATATTTGCCCTCAATATCATGTACACCAGTTGAGATCACTAAAACCTGTTACCAGTGAATGGTGGGTTTGTTATCCCCCTCAACGCGTTTTGCGGGGGGTATTAAAATGGACTCCGTCCGTGCTTCCGTCCGTCCGTCCGTGCACATTTGTCTTTTCCGGAGCAGAACTCTAAAAGCATTCAATATTTCTTCACCAAACTTGGCACATACATTGATCTGGTGGTGTACTGGTGTCTTTTGGCAGTTTTGGAATTCTGAATAAAATATTTTGGGTGTTTCCATGGCAACAAGTTCGACTTAGACTGAAATTGGTGGTAGTGCTCTTTTCCGGAGCAGAACTCTAAAAGCATTCAACATTTCTTCACCAAACTTGGCACATACATAGATCTGGTGGTGTACTGGTGCCTTTTGGTAGTTTTGGAATTCTGAATAAAATATTTTTGACGTTTCTATGGCAACAAGTTTGACTTAGACTGAAATTGGTGGTAGTGCTCTTTTCCGGAGCAGAACTCTAAAACCGTTCACTATTTCTTCACCAAACTTCGCAAATAGATTGGTCTGGTGGTGTACTGGTGCCTTTTACTAGTTTTGGAATTCTGATTAAAATATTTTTGGCGTTTCCATGGCAACAAGTTTGACTTAGACTGAAATTGGTGGTTGTGCTCTTTTCCGGAGCAGAACTCTAAAACCGTTCACTATTTCTTCACCAAGCTTGGCACATAGATTGGTATGGCGGTGTACTTGTGCCTTTTGGTAGTTTTGGAATTCTGATTAAAATATTTTTGGCGTTTCCATGGCAACAAATTTGACTAAGACTGAAATTGGTGGTTGTGTTCTTTTCCAAAGCAGAACTCTAAAACGTTCACTATTTCTTCACCAAACTTGGCACATAGATAGATCTGGTGGTGTACTGGTGCCTTTTGGTAGTTTTGGAATTCTGAATAAAATATTTTTGGCGTTTCCATGGCAACAAGTTTGACTGAGACTGAAATTGGTGATAGTGCTCCTTTCAATGCTCTCCTTCCACTTTTCTATATACACACCAAAATATTTGACATAATCATAACTCGTAGACATAATCATGAAGAGTATTTTGCCATTGCGGGGGATATTGATGACTTTGTCTTCTTGTTGTGCATTGTTTTGTTGATGAGTGTTTTACTTGTGATGCATCTTCGTGCCGTGTAATTCATACTATGCTACTTGTTCATTGCAGAAAAACCAGCTTGCTGAGGGAGTACACTAGTGGTTCCGGTACCTGGAAGCTCTCCTGTGGAAAGTGTCGACCATGGCCTTATCAAGGGCTCTCATCTGCCCTTTGTTGCTGATTGCATTGTTACATTGTGTTCAATCTCAAAGTAAGTCCTTTGATGCTGATTTCATATGACATGATAATGTGTCCCCCAGATGTTTATGATCATTCATTTTAAATTTATTTAAATTATACAGACTTTGTGTGAAGTAGATTTGATCATGAATGTTTTAAAGCAGGTTAAAACATGGTTGGAATGGCTTCAGGGAATATGAAACCAGTGTCTATATTTTGTTTTGGAACAGAATGGAAGGAAGGAAATTGCCATGTTTGCAACAACAAAACATGTTATGTACTTTTCTGTAGGCCTGGTCTATATGTAGAACCCTTGTACCGTATTAGCAAATGACATTTCTATGATCAGAGCTCAATTTAGTGCCTTGTTACTTGCACTCGTGCAACCCAATATTACAGAGTGCAACCTAGTTATTAATCTAACTTGCACCAGATGCAAGTCAATTTTTGAGTGGGTAAACTTCTGAATAGAAATCTAAACAATTTAGCATATGTCTTTCATTACATGTATATTGCAATAAAAGCAGTGCAATTGGAATTTGGCTGGTGCAACTAGGTTTTTATCTTAGGTTGCACCTGGTGCACGTAGGTTAACATCTCTTAAATCGAGCTCTGAATGATTTACCATATGCTACTCAAATGAGGTTAAAGATCACATATACCCTACAGGGTACAAATACATAAATCACTAACTGGCATCGTTATAAATGAAACCCCGTCATTAAAACTACTCATTTCGACCTTTAATTGACTTAAATCGACCTTTTTGACAACAGTGCACAATTCTCACCCGCGAACGAAATTTCAACCAATCAGAGCGGCGCGTCTCTGTGACGTCATATGAGGAATAGCTTTGAGGGCTGATGCAGAATTCATCTACATTTTAGGGGGTAAATTATCTTGTTTACAGGCTTGTATAAACCTGAAATCGTGACAATTGTTGTGGAAAATGAAAGCTATAGTAGTATATACAATGGGGGTTTTGGACCAGGTCCAACAAAAGCCTCTGCAAAGCCTTATTTCCCAAATAAGGCTTTGGTCGGACCCTTAGCTCTTGCTACCATTACCCCTACTATAAAAAAGTTTGGGACGCTAGCGGGATACGAACGCCCAATGTTACACCTCACAGCCGCACCACTTAACCGACTGAGCTACCAGGGACTTGGCTGAAGCATGTTGGTATCCTGCGATCTCCACGTGCCGCTATGCCGTGTTGACTGGAGGTAACACTGTGCCGTACGGTACGATCAATAATTCCGCTCTTACAAACCCTCTCCCTGGCCCATCTCTCAAGTAGTACAAGTTAGGCTCGTAGGCTTTCATGTCCACTTTATCTATGTTGTAAGTTTTGACTGACCATATTGGGTCAGTGGCTCGCTTACGGCTATCACCCTCGTGTTCCCCCGGCTGGTATAGATACCTCACTAGGGCCCTATCTGGTATCTGTTTCTCCTTCCCACGCAATGGAGCAGCCGACTCTGCCACTATTGATTTTAGTTTGATAGCGTCTACCGGTTTCTTGCCGGTGAGACGGGTGACTTCATGGTTGATTGATGACACCACCTTAGGCAACCTTGTGACCCATTCAGTCAATCGCTTCCCCGGGGTGGCCATCTCCTCGCAGATACTGATGCCCGAATAAAGCCAGCCAAAGTCCTATTGAATCTCTCAACTATGGCTTGGCTGCGATGAACTCCAGCCGTCCTGCGCACTGACCTTTAACGTATCATGTTTGTCTAACAGGTGTGACACGACACCCATGAACTCCAGCCGGGGTCAACTTGCAGCTCTGTTGGCCACAGCCAGGACTCGCGCTTGTATATCGTTCGAATCCTCTCCACACGCTACCTGGGCCGAATCTTTGTGCGGTCAAGGGTTCGGGCTTCCCGCTTATAGCGACTGGCTCGTCCACCACTTCTGGTTAAGGCATACTTGTACCTCTTGTCGTGGGGTAGGAATAGGAGAGGTCGACCTGGTGAGCGCTTAATAGGTATGTTAATACCAAACTTCCTTCTAGGCACGTAGCCAGGTGGCAGCAAATAGATCTGCCACAGGGCTTGTTTTCAAACCACGCTTTGGCCTCCTCCGGCGTTTTTCCGCCATTTTAGCCTGCTTATCTACAGCTAGCTCCTTTCCAGTACCCACGCGGGCTATAGTAAATAGCCTCAAACTTTCTCTGGTTCGTGACATGTCACCTATATACCCTATGTTCTTGGTTCAATTTTCTCATGCCGATGCAGCGATGCGTCGTTTATCCCATCAATAGCTATCCAGCGTTTAGTGTCCATAGGTGACAGGGGCGTCTTGTTTATAGTCAGTCCGTATATCTTATGCCCATCACTTCTAAAAAGCGTGTTCATTTTGTATGTCTAAAGGTACGGGTCTTGAACAGGGCTTCCTTGAATCTGGCGTGTTTGATGTGTTGTTTAACCACGCGTACTTCTTAACACCCTTAGCCTTCGGATCTCCCCATTGTCGACCTTCAGTATGGAATACATCTTAGGTCTCAAACCTATGTACTCAGCTATGGGCGTGCCAGCACACTCGATCCCTTCATCTTACCTGGGACCTTTTTATTTACCGTGCTGTGTATGGCATGGTCCTTAGGGTAGTCGCTGGTGTCATACAAATCGAGGTGTTTTCATGTCCTCGTGATACGCGTCCTCGGTTCGAATCTCCATCAGGAGGGAATCCGTGTCAGTGTACAGCACTTCACACCTGTCGTCATTACTGTTTCTTAAGCTTGTTGTAGTAAAAGTCGGTACATCAGGTGTTTGGATAAATCGAGGATGCTCATCCCCGTAAAACAGGCGGTTGAATTTTGTTTGGCTTTTCTTCATGTGTAGGGCAACTAGGTCATCGGTGAATATTTTGCTACGGTTGAATGCCGGACTGGCTATCAGTCTCCTGAGCTTGTCTTCCTCATTCGACCGAACCAGCTTGGCGGGTCACGCGTTTCCTCAGGTTCTCCAGAGTCTTACCAAACACCGAGTTGTTCATGAGCTTGTAGAGATTTTTCTCAAAGTCACTGGTGGCAAGCTTTGAGGAGGTCTGTGTTCATTCTGATGTAAGGCTCCATCCATGGGCTCTGGTTGAACATGAGCACCCTGTGTATTTTGGTCAGCCTCATACCCAACGACAAAAAGTACAGCTGTAGGTTGCGATAGTGAGCGATGTACTTGGTCTTATTCATTAAGTTGGGCCGCGAGTTTTCAACGTCTGCCACCCGCCCTCCTAATAAGTTATGTTGGTACTCAGACATCCAGTCTGGGTTAACCCTCATAGGTTCGGGGGGCCAGGGGTAGCTGTTGTGATGTGTGTAATGCCTTGGGGTACTCAAGTCAACCTCAAGGATATAACCTTTGTTCGAATCTGGTGCGATGCTCATAACATCGACCTTATGTACACCCATTCGAATCCCCTGTGGGTGGAATACTGACTCATGGCCCAACCGTTACAGGTTGTTGGCGTCGAGGTAGAGAATGTGATTGGTTGGCTTGCTAGGATCAGTAGCCCTTCATTATTGATTATTTGCTTTTCGGCGTTATCGTTTGGTTGCCATGGAGATCCCTACCATAAGCCTTTCTCAATGAATAGGTGCATGTCATAAATCTGTGAGCAATTCCAACTTAACTCCGGTCTTTTAAGCAAGGCATCCCACGACAGACCTGGGCTGGTGTAATACCATGCGGGGTCAAGTTTATACTGCTTGAAACATGTCCGCCTAAACATCTCAAACACGTCGGCTAACAGCAGTACATCTGTCCTCAAGTACAGGTCGTGATAGTCACCCAGATTCTTACAACTCAGTTTATTCCATACATTAATAGCGTGCGAATAATCGTCTTGGGATATTGCCGAGTCTGTCAGATTGCTGTAAAATTCTCTGATGGGGGGTAGTCTGGTCTCGGCGAACTTGGCCCAACTATCCATGTACTCATAGGGGTACACACCCTTCCTCATAAGCAGGGGTCTAGTCTCGGCGTCTGTGTATCGATCGGTAATAGGGAAGGTATCATTGGCCTTGACCAGACTGTCGAGTGACGACAGGAGGAATTGAACTGAATCTATGAACCTAAAGGCCGTTTAAGCTGAAGGAGATGTATCTCTCCATGTTGTTGGGGATGCACGTTATATTACCATCGATTTTTCGCGATGGCCTGCATGATCAAGTGTGAGTCATACCCTCTCAAGTTGTGAAAGACAACGGAATGTTTATTGTCTTAGGGATGATTCTAAGCTTGAGGTTACCGCGCTGTGGCAGCTGCCTCTATACTTACGGTTACGTGACAGTGATCTCTCACCGAATCACCGTTAAGTGGTGAGTCACACACGTGACAATTAGTGCTACAGGCGTGAGCTAGTTGGTCAGCTCGGGTCATACGCATGGGAGCGATTGTGTACAGTGCATTCCTAATCATTTTTCTTCCTCCTGCAAACACTTTAGAAACCTTTCAGCCGCGTCGGGACCCCTGTACACTACCGGAGCTTTCGTTTCCCCATCACAACGGACAACAACGTATCCAAACCCACAGGCTTCATGCTCTTGTGTTTTGTGTGTGAAGCTCTCACCTGTGGGTAGAGCATTGGGAGTACCCCCAACAACCCCACCTGTGGGAGTACCCCCAACAGCCCCGGCGGCAGCCTCAACAGGTTTGACCAAGGCTTCAAAGTCGGTGTATATGATATAAGGCACAGACATTTGGTTCTTGTGGTTACCGAATTTTAGGATATTGTCACCTTCCTTAGGCATGTCGACTCGTATAGCCGTCTGCCCCACACCTTGGCAATCCTCCCGGTGGGATTCTAATAAATCAGCTCGTGTGAAGCCATGTAGGCACCGTTCGCAGAAGTGGGTCTTTTCTCTGTGTGCTGATTGGTCATACAACAGCCTGCTAAAGTGTTTTATCCATGTGTAGTGGTACTTGTCACCTCGCTGGATCATGAATATATTGATAACACGAGGGGGGTTCCCTCCTTGTCCCCCCAGTTGGGGTTCCCCCAACGGACTGACCCTGTGTACTATTGTTG